ATCTGCTCTAATTCTCATTTCCAGATAATACCTGTTTATTGCTTTCTCTTTTGTGTTTGTGGTTTGAGGCCACAATGAAACTTTGACCCACTCCCGGGCTGTTTTAGCTGATACCATCGGTATTAAATTTATCTAAAATCCAGGTAATAACCGTCATTTGTTTGCATCAGTGGAGCACTGGTTGATTTTTTTTTTTCTAAAGGAAGAGAGTGCATTTGTGTTTACATGCATGCTGTTTGGCTGAACATAAGACAGTAAATTGCAGAAGGATGTATGTATCAGTTTTGGGGATCTGGTGTTGCATTTTAGGGGGATAATGTTTCAACCAGCTTAGTTTATAATATGTGTAAATGAACTACAGTAAATTTTTCATTCCATTTATTTATTTATACAGGAAATGAATAAAAGTAGCAATAGGTGTGCTACAGTTAAAAGTGGACCGACAGTTAAAAACTGGTTTTGAGCAGGTTCATGTTCAGCAGCACAAAATCACATCACAGTACAAAATAAAGTCTAGTACTTCCTTCCATCTTACTTGTGCCCATATCTCCCTGCTCATCTCTGGGGCTGTTGCTCGAACTGCAGATTGTACATCCACATTAGGACACAAAAGCCCTGTTTCCACCAAACACTTTCAGTATGGTACCTTTGGACCCATGAGTAACCCTTCAGACACGGTACTCATGTCAACTCATGCATTGAGTAACATTACAAGTTAACGTTTCACCTTTAAAGACACCGGCAGTCGACCCAGTGAATTGAGTTATTTTTTTCTCAGACTACAGCTGCTGCAAGAGGCAGCAAAGCTTCCTTTCATTTTATAGTTACAGTCTACTAATAAAACTCTCCACAGAATGAACAGTGGTTACATGAGCCTCAAATCCAGCCACAGCTCAGCCCTGAGCAGAGTTACTGTCCTCTATTGACCAATCAATGGACTGCAGTGTTCACAGCTCCACCTTTTAGTACCAGATCTGTGTGCTAGGTACCCCAGCAGAGGGGGGACCAAAAATGGGAATGGTATGGAACCGTTCCATTGGTACCATCCACAACTTTTCACTGTGGAAATGGGAAAAAAAGCGTACCGAACTAAACTGTACCGTACCGTAATGCTCGGTGGATACCGGGCTAAAGAGTTTAGAAGTGGATCAAGAGAGAAAGATGCCTCTCTCTTCATCTCAAACTCAGATCAAATGGTAAAACTAGGCAGTGCTGATCAAATATAAACCAAGGTTCTGAAACTGTTTTGCCTATTTCACATCTAAAATGTTTTCAGAAACATATTTTAGGACACTGTTTAGCTGTTATACAAGATTATTTGTTACCAGTTGGCAGTCATATTGTTTCTGGACGGGAAATGCATTACGTCACCCACCAGTGGGAGCTTTTATTGGTGTGGTGTGGCACAGTGCATTCTGGTAGTTGTAGGTTTTCTTCCTCTTGAGCAAAAACAAAAGCTGCAGCTATTTTCTTCTGTCTTCTCTGGTCACATAGCATCGATTTCAAAAGTATTTGCATGTTTCTGCTGCACAGATAGCCCCGTTTTATGCAGAGACCATCTTTCCAGCAGTAAATTACTTCTTTAATGAGTAGTTGTCATGTTGAAGCTTTTATTTGGCCTGTTTTGATTCAGTGAGGTTGTTGAGTGTGATCTTCACTGATAACACTTTTAATCACGTTTACATTCAGCTTGAACCTCCTGTTTTTTAGAAATCCCTCAAAGACTGTTTGAGACTGAATAATGATGTGAGGTTTTGACTGAATTATTGTCAGATGTCATGTGTGCATGCGTATGTTTATTCGACCCATCCGAGTGTTTCATCAAGCAATCTATTATCTTCAGGCTTTGCTGTAGAATTGTAATGCAGTTTCTCTCATTAGTGTTTGAATTGCCAACAAGGCCGGTGCTGATGGCAACTGATGGGCCTCGTTCATCAGCAAAATCCCTTTGTTCCTTGTTAATGTATGCGGCATTATTAAAACATTATTCTGTATTTTATGATCTTGCAAACACAGGGGGGAAATTTGTACATCTCTAAATCCAACTGTGTGTCAGATCAACTTTAAGCAGTTTAATTTCTTGAATGCACGTTTTACAGCAGTCTTTGCCATCTTCATATTTGGACATAGGATAACTGTTATCTTATAAATGGTGGATAATTAAGCCAGTTTGTCAGTTTAAATCCCTCTGATAGATTCACACTGACATACAGTAGGCTTACATTTCTCTCCGAATGAAATGGCAATTTTCTGCCATGCTGTTCTTGTTAGAGACAAGACGAAACTTTGTCTTGTTTAGACATCATTATCAAACCCGTAGCCTGTTAAATGTTTAATCCAAAGAGTTACACAGATTTAAATATCATTATGTATGGATTATGCAAATAATTTCATGCATGTAAATGTGTTTTTAATGACTTCATTTCATGCTGTGTTCCATGGAAAAGTGTATGTGTCTTTACTTCTGGTGTGCGGCTCTTATAACTGAGTCACTACAGGGGAAATCAATGATGTTGTTAGTCATTAGTAGTTATTAGATAGATATTAGTCATAAAAAGTGTTAATGTCATGATGCATTTTAAAGCTGAGATCAGTAACTCTGCTGTTATCGTCCTCTGCAGCAGCGACAGGTTGTTCGCTAAAGATGTGGAAGATGTTTTTGTTTGAGGTGTTTTTAAAAGCTCGCTGCTCAAATCGGCCTCTTTGAATTTGATAAAAATGCAGTGAAGTGTGATACTACTGAGCTTACGCTTTGGTTTGATTCGCAAAAATATAAGCACGGTGCCAAATAAGTAACTTTAAGAAAGCTGACTTGCCTTTGAAGTGAACTGATTGGCATTAAAAGTGTGAAAAGCAGAGTGTGTGAAAAGAGAACTTTCAACCACTTAAATGGAGAGAGTTTGTGTGTTTTTGAGAGACCAAACCACAAATATGGATCTATTAAGGATTTATGAACTGGAAAATTAAATATTTAACAAACACATTTTCTTCCTTCAAGTATATAATGTCTTCCAAACTAATGTAATTATAATCCATAGTCTACCATATTTAATAGATGTGAAAGTCTGCGTGTAGAGAAAACAAGGCTTGATATGATTTATTTTTCAAGCAGTATTATTTACAGTAGAATGGGTTATGCTGTGCAGCTAATTGGGGAATAGTTTAAGCAACAAGTAGCTTTTTTGATGCCAAGTCCTTTGTTCATTACATAAAGGAACAAATGAATGAATTGATGAAAAAAGAAACACTGTTAAACTACAGTTATTTATAGCTTATAAACTATAACAGAATACCCAAGAGACGGCTCTCAACCCTTTCTCTCATGTCTTTAGTCTTGTTGCAAGCAAAATAAACAAAAATAAGTGAACTTAAAACAACCATTGGATAGACCAGGTTATGGGTAACAAGACTTGGGAAATAAGGTAGTTGTGTTATGCTGGCCCCACACTTGAGGATAAATCAATAGATTTTGGGTCAGATCCCCTCCCAGCAATTGCATGGGTGTTTCTGATTCGAGGCTGGTCTGAACAGTTCATTTGTCTGGTGTTTACAGACCTAATTTTAATGTTACTCATTTGATCAGAGTCTCCCAGATTTCAAATCAGGAATATGAAATATATTTAACATTTATGACTGAAATCCTGTGGTGTGAAAGAAACATTCATACATTTTCCGTAACCACTTATCCTGTTAGGGGGTCGCGGGTGTGCTGGAGCCTATCCCAGCTGACATTGGGCGAGAGGCGGGTTAAACCCACACATTCACACCTACGGGCAATTTAGAGTCACCAAATCTAACCTGCATGTCTTAAGACTGTGGGAGGAAGCCGAGAACATGCAAACTCCACTCAGTAGGGCTCCCCTACCCCAGGGTTCGAACCTGGAAACCTCTTCCTGTGAGGCGACAATGCACTGTGCCGCCTGTGAAAGAAACTGTGATGGAATATTTAACAGAAACTTACAAATGCCTATGGAAGCGAGGCAACAGGGAAGAGTCACCAGCACATTTAAGACTATTGATAACACTTTTTTTCTTAGCTGTGACTATATCAGCATGTTTTTCCCTTCCACTTTTTTGTTTTTTAGTGCAAGGCAGTGCACGCACAAGTGCAACTAGCTGGCAACAACAGTCCACCTTCATGTTAGTTTTGTCTGATATCACATCGGACCACGTGAGTCTCTGGAATTGCCGCTGAAATCATTTAATATAAACAACAATTATGTCGTCCTGTACCTCGACTGAATCATCTGGTGTGCTTTCTTGAGATTAAATATAACAAATACACCTGAAGGTATTTGGAGTAAAATTACATTACAAAGCTTTGCAAAGGCCTTCCATAGTTTGGATAGTGCTGATAAAGCCTGTCTGCCACATAAACATACACACACGCACACACACACTTGCCCTCATATATCCAACAATAGATGACTTCTGTACTTTAAATGCATAGTGAAATTGTTGAGAGCAAGGCTGTAATTGAGTTCCCAGTCCCTCGCCTTTTTCTTCACTCGTTTACCTTCTTTAATCTCTCCTCCATCCAACGACTTTCTCCCTGGTGGACATTTCCACCTCCATCTCTGTGACACGGCTAGATTACACTGCTAGAGTCTATAACGGTGGAGGTGCTGCCTCCTTTTTATAACAATGGACTGAGCCTGTATTTAGCTAACTTGCTGCAGGTGCAGCTGGGGCACACTTCTCCAGTGTTCAGTTATTAAAAGCCTTTGCTGTAGTGAGAACACCTTGTGGTCTTTCTGAGGTGGCCATTAAACGAAAACGTAATTATAGTTTTCGCGTTTTGGCTGTATTGCTGCATGTGCTGCAATCTTCTGTTCGTGTATATGTGTGTCTACATTTCTTTTGCTCTTAGTTCACCACCAACTCATTCGTCTCCTCTCTCTGCAGCTTTGAGTAACAATCCAGATACACTGATAGAAGCCTAATTTCTCAAATGCTTTTTAAATGAACTGTATTTTAATTTAATCTTGTTTTTCTTATAGGTGCGGATTGAGACAGCTACAACCCTGAAGCTCAATATCCTTTCTGTTTCTTGATTATTTTTCTGACTGTCATTTTTACAACAGATAAATTTGATCATACTTAGTATGTTTGCAGTGTGAGCTTAACTGTATCTGATGGCACATTATTAGTCCTTAGGTATGCTGAAGCAAATGTAGATGTTGCATACCTAACCTTAGCAGTTTGATTTCATCCTTAACTCATGACCACCTGTTGATGACTTCGAGTTCCGGACAGAGCAGTTCCTCCCAGTGAGTACATCTGTTTACTGTTTATGCTTTTAAATCAGTGATGAGTAGAATAGGAATTTCACAAAAATCAATAGGGGTGTCACGATGTTGTAGAAAATCAATTGAAATGAGTCTTTGAGTTAAGTCATTGACATCAAAAGCAGGATTGTGTGACTCTTTCCCGCCTACTTCCATGTGTTTGAAGGTAAAATAACAACACAGCGTCACTTGCAGCTGCACCTCTTCACACATCATGACCACTGCCAGAGTCAGGGATAGATAAAACATAGTCTGAGTGGGCGGAAGTTTGCTGCAGAGATCAGCCTCTCATTGGGCGGAACGAGCCACCCGCTGAAGTCCCACCCTACCACCTCCGGTTGTGTAGCAGTTTTCAACAGTTTTCAACATGTCCTTTACTAACTTTTGCGTTGTTTGATCTTGCGAGGATGTAGCCATTTTTCTGCCATGGGTCGCATCCTGTAGGTGATATTTTTGTGGGCGTGTTACACCAAAACCTGTTTCCCCCCGCCAATATTTTTGCAAGCGCACCGTTGCTGTGGCACCACCCAGAACGATTGTGATTGGTTGAAAGAAGTACAAGCAGCCGGGGCGTTTTTTTTCTCCAATCTCAAAGTGAGAGTCGGCCCTCAAGAAAAGAAAAGAAAGGTCTGACCTTTCTTTTCTTGAGAAAGGTCTGGTGAGCGAGACTAGATAAAACATAACAATAAAACTAGAAAATGCTCCTGCTTCACTGAAGTCAATAGTGTGGCAGTATTTTGGAAAAGGGTTATTACATTTTAAAGAAGTTGATTAATATTGACTCTATAGCCATTGAATGGTACGGTTCAAAATATATGGTACTTTTATCACATTTGATACGTTGAAGCTTATCTCTTTAAAAGAAAATTGACAATTGAATCAAATTGTGACTTCTGAATCGAAAGTCAAATTAAATCAAGGATTTGGAAAACTGACACCCCTAATAATCAATGAATAATAAATTATTTTCAGCTCCGTACTTCCTCTTTTTCTAACTCTTAAATTCTTGTCTTTTTCTTTAGTACCTAGAGTCGATCTTCGGGCTGCTCTTCCAGCTATTGCAGCAGGTGACAGAGTGCGACACTAAAATGCAGGTGCTCCATGTCATCTCCTGTGTCATCGAGAGAGTGAACATCCAGGTGAGATTTAAGAAAAAAGAAGTGCTTAAAATTTAACCTTTCCTAGATTTTTTTTAACTATCATCAGTTGCAGTTGAGCAGCATCCTGTGGGACTTTGTGGAAAATTAAGCCAACAAAGAAGTGCTGCAGTTCCTTGAATGGCCACTTGAGGCTAGTTCCAGAGGCGAGTTAGTCCCCATGGACCCCCATGTTAAAATGCCCAGTTTTCCAGCAGAAATAAACATCCTTACAGCCTGGTACAAAAAACAATTTTGCCCTCTAAAGCTGCTTAGAGTGACAGGTTGTCTGCAAGGTGTCATCTCGGGCTCTCAGTCAGATCCACCCCTCGCTCCTCCACAGCTCCAGCCTCTTGTCCAAATATGGTCACTTCTGGCTCCAAAAATCCAAGATGATGACGATCAAAATGCCAAACTCAAGTCTTCAATCCCGAACCAACTGGTGACTTCACAGTGACTATATCTAGTAATTTTATACAGTCTATGGTTGTAATTAAGAATGGCCAATATGACCTTAAAATACTATGACAATATTTCAGTTTCAGTTTCATTTTTCCATATTTTTTACAATTCTGATCTTCTTATGGTATGACAAAATACTGAAAAATATTTTATTCATTTCAAGAACATAGAAATTACATCAAAATAAGACAAAAGTTACTACATAGGCTAACTTCTTACCTCTTAAAACTTAAAAGACTGAGTTGTTTTTTCCACCTGCAACTGTGTGTTCTGCCATTTGTCCTCTACTCGTCCTGATGTAACTTGCTCAGTGTTTACCATCTAACCACTAACTGCAGTCACTCTGCTAGAGGGTCTGAAAGTCAGGGCTGTTCATTAACATTCAGGGCTGTAGTCTTTGACGCCCAGGCTGAAGGATGCCACTGATTCCCCACTGCTGGAGTCACTCCCCTTTGTGGTACTTAACTCCGCCATGGAGCCAGTAGCAATTTGCTTTCAGTAATGTCAGCTGTTGTTCTGCATATTAGTTTGACGTCATCATTACAACAAGACAGATTGTTGCCATCAGAAAATGCTTCTTCTTCTTTTTTTTTATCATATTAAGAATTAGACTGGTATTATGGCACACACCCAAGTCACAGTATGTAAAGTAAAGTTTGAGTCAAACTCTGAAGTGATGATGAAGGAGCCCTTGTGTTGGACATCTGGGGAGATATATTTTGCAGCTGCTTTGTGAAGAATAGCACTGCACAAAATGTAGTTATTGATTTGTGCTCTGCAGGGGAAACGTGAAGCTGTAAAAACATTATAACACAGAAACAAAACATCTGTCCCGCTGTACAAGCCCCAGACCACCGGGGTAAAACAACCATCTGTCCTCAAAAGATAGCTAGACGTTAATGATTTTTCACATCCCACAACACTCGCACCATCAAAGCAACCGTGAGCCCCAATTCTTGACTCTTTTTAAATCACAAGGCCTAAGGCAGCCCTTGTTCTCATGTCTGCTCTCATTTACCACAGTGGTACAGTCTCCCTCCTGCCACTGCAGTGCTTTTGTGGCCATATGGATTTTATTTTTTTTTTCTGAGCATCCAATAAGTCGCTCTAATCCACTTAAATGCCAACCCTTAAAAAACTGACCTTCTTCTTGACCCCCGCAGGCTCTTTTCAGATCCGTTTTAAGCACCTTCCCTTAAACGATCCCTTGACTTAAATCTTTCACAGAAATGGCTTTCATCCTTGTGAACTGTCAGTCTGGTTAAGTCTTCCCCAGTTGCTGGCCCTGGCTAAACTTCTAGAGTCAGTGGAAGTCCCATTAATATTCTCACTCCTCTCACAAGGGATTTCAAACCCACAAAGAGTGGCAGCAGCTGAGAAAACGAGGCAATGAAACCACGAGTGCAGCTCGTGTTGAAATGAACATGATGACAGATATGATGAGATTTAGCTCCTTTTTCTGCTGTCAGTCACAAAAGTCATCCCAGGCTGGTTTGTGGGGCTGTTTTTCCTCACTTTTATCTTTCTCCTCAAGGCTGTATGTCGTATTTCTTTTTTTTCTTTTTTTTTTTTACTGTTCCATCTGCTCCCAGCGAATTCCTTATAAAGGTGTAATCGAGCAAAAAAATCCCAGTGTGGGGTCTGAAGCCGGACCACATAGACGCTACAGGGAATACGAAGGGTTAGCACAAGTCAGCACAAGAAAATGGCAGAAAACTTTTTGAAGTCCGTAAATCAGTGCTATTCTGGGATGTCTTAGAGTTGGCTGGCTGCACAGCAACTGCACCTAAATTACACCGTGTGCCATCACATTTTCCAATTTCACACAGGGAGGAGAGTGATGACATCCACTTGGTCTCCAACCACCCAGATTTTTCAAGTGTGTAAAACAAAAGAACTTGATTTAAAAGAAAGAAAAGGGATGTTTCGGTAACATATAACTCAGGATAGAGAAAAGAATAATAGAAAAACATCCCCGTTTTGTTGGAGAAATAGATTGTTATAGAGGTTGCTAAAGTATGAAGCATGGATTCAGATAAAATGAGTTGTATAAGATCAAATGTGGACATGGGTGTCAAGTTTTTTCTATAAAGATGATGTGTAAGGCTGGTTTGTTTCAGTTTTACATTATTTTCTTATTTGTATTTTTTGTCGTGTTTTTATCTCGTTTCATGTCACTCAATCACTTTTTTTCCTTTTCTTCTCGTCTCTTGAGTCGCTGTAATGAGTGAATGTCCCCAGTGTGGGATTAATAAAGTCTATCTTATCTTATCTTCAAAATGCATACTGAAGAATCAGAACATCATTATGTTGCCTTCCACACGAGCTCGGCTGTGATTGTTGTTGCCATAGTTGCCACAGATTCACAAACACTCACATCATGTGTCAGCCAAATTGGCTTCCATGAGCACTTTTGGAGGCATCAAGAGATCACCTCGGTGGAGTTTTATTTTTTTCACCATTGCACTAATAAGAAGATATACTCTGTATTTTCAACAGCCTGTCCAGTATTTTCTTTCCACTGCCATTCTACTGAAGCATGTTTTGAGGCAGCTGATTTGGACTGATGAAGGCGAGATGGGGAAATGGATTGGGTCTGAATTCACTGGTGGGAAAACCAAAACATACATACATATTATTTTTCCTTATCTTTAAAGTTAGAGTAAAAGTTAGAGTTTTCTCTAAACAGAAAGGATTTGTGGCGGCCTGTCATTATCGTGCCGAAAAAGGGGCGGAAATTGGCGTGTCCACTCAGGTGTCATATTTCCATCACTGTCGATTGGAGCTGGAGCCAATAAATACCTGTGACTTTTGAAGATTCATTTGTCTCGGGAGTGAATGCTGATTGTAATCTTTACTTCTAAAGACAAAAGCCAGATGTCAGTGGGGGTTAGTGGGTTTGTTGTCTAGTGGGAGAGGTGCTTAAGTGTGTTTAGGTTAGGGATGCACGATAACTGTACGTTCAGACCAGAACCTTCTAAAGAGGCAAAGTCTGTCGCGTCCGCCCAAGAAGCACGACTGTCAAAAATATTTGTGGCAGCTTTGGTCGCTCTAGTCACTCATCACGTGAATCATTGACTGTTCGATCGTGCTTGTCAATTTAAAGGAGCCGCAAAGCAGACTACTTGCTTGAAAGCAGTGTAGTTGCTGCTTGCTGTTGTCGAGTCAAAAAAGCTCAGAATTGGACTACGGAAAGTTATGTTTGGTCATTGAAAACAGAAAACGTATGTCATCTCATTCATACCAAGCAAAGAAGACTTGCATGCTACGTCGCAACATTAGCCTGTAATTCTCTCCTCTATTACTAACATTACACACTTTAAAACTCACCAGACCAACCAGCTACCTCCGCGACGTGGTGCCAAGCCTCATTCTTTTTATTGTCAGCATTCCGATTGGTTGCAGCCGAACCGCGTCAGAGCTCATTACCATAAAGTTAAACAAGTTTTAACTCCTCTCGGACCCGCTCTGGTTGCTTTGGTCACCCAAGACGCGCGGCTGACGACCAGGTCACCCAAGTCGCCGGGTTCTGATTGAAAATGAATGACTTCTGCTGTTTTGGAAGCTCTGGTCGCTTTTGGTGTGTACGTACAGTAATATTGGCACATCATTGGTAACGGCCAAAAATGGCTTTAAAATGAACTTTCAGGATCGGCCAACGTGCTTTTTCTTATTTTACCCAATGAATGAATATTACGTACACTGAAAAGTATTGTTTTTAATTCCTCTGTCTGCTGGTGGGCCATCACAAGAAGAGTATGCTTGCATAATATGATGTTTATTCCACTACAGACTAGGCTTGATCACTAAAATTAGGTGGGGGGGAAAAGTGGATATATCGATATCGGTATTAGCTATCGGTCAAATGAGTCGTTACTTATCGGATATTGGCAAAAAATCCACCATCATGCATGCCTGGTTTAGGTATCTGATGGATATACAAACTACTGAGACAGTAAATGAACACCATTGTCTGCTTTTGTTGAAGATGTTGGTTGAATGTCACACTCTAATGTTTCTGTTTCTTATTTTTCTGCTCCCTCTGCTTCAGATTCGGCCATATGTCGGCTGTCTGGTTCAGTACCTGCCCCTGCTCTGGAAGCAGTCTGAAGAACACAACATGCTTCGATGTGCCATACTAACCACACTCATCCACCTGGTGCAGGTATGGTGCCTCCCCGTCTTCCAATGTTTGTGCATCATTTTAAAAAAGGCACACGTGTACTCAGCAATCATGCACGGAGACCACTTTGTCAGCCAAGCACATTTGTATTATGTTTTATGCACCACCTGCAGGCAAGGAGCACTACAGCTGCAGTTTTTCCTCATATTTAACAGCTGTTTTCTTCTGTGTGTGAGCATGTGTTTCACACTTACCACCTGTGCCACCTTTTGGCTAAAATAAAAATAATGGAACGAATTATTGTGTCACAATAAACTCCAGGAAATGTCAGCGACCAAAATAGAAATGCCATTCAGGTGGCTGTGAAACACCAGACATGTTGATTAGAAGGGAAATAAATGTAAACCTAATTTACAAGTGTGTCATCTGTGAAGGGGGCGCAGTGTCAGGCCGCACACAACAGCAACCCAAGCCTAGATGTTTGTTTGTTCCAGTCTTTTCATACAGTTGCTGTCAGAAATTTACTGCTGCCTTGCCAATCTCACTACTCACATGATTTTGATTCACAGCACATATTTGGCTGGCTCACCTTGGCTTTGCCGCGAGCCAGCTCTCATCTCTTCCAGGATCACAAGAAAGTGGCCCATTAACAAAACTATTAGATTAAATAAAACCGTAACAAAAAGCTTTTGCTGGGAATAAAACTGAGCTTTAACTTAACTAATGGTTCCGTGGGTTAGATAGGTTGAAGTACATTATGTTTATCGTTTATTGTGAGTGTGACAGGTGCTAGTGTTCAGACAATCTGGCAGTAATTGAGGTTTTACTTGTCTGCCCACATGTTGCTGAGGCTGATTTCCAAAATGTCTGTTCTGTAGACCTGAGTGAGACGCATTTCCCCAAACGGTTGGGTTACTGTGACACCAATTTTTATTTTTATGTGTTATTTTTTTTTTTACCTTGCCCTCACCTGCCAGGATTTGTTTACACTAGCTGGATAAGACAACTCGGAGAGAGGCTGTGTCTGTTTCTCCGGCTTTGCTTTTCATCGATTTACATGCTCTCACAGTTACATATGGTTCAAACCACTCAGCCGCTTGTTTTCTTTGCTTTTTAGCAAGGTGTAAGGTGCAATGTGAAGATTCAGTTGTGTTTGTGAGCCAATGTGTACAATATTTTTTGTTATCATTCCCCTCAGTATCAGTCAGGTTTATCACAAACTGCAGTTAAGAGGAAAATAGCCTTAGACAGAAGCTCCATTCCCCAAAGCATTAAAGCAGCGTGTCTCAGCCTGCAGAAAGATTTGGACCCCCATGAGGCGGCCGCTGCATTACTTCACAGTGGGAGATGAAACGCTCCGTGATAGAGACACACTCCCTTTGAAAGAGTAATACAAGTACACATCTGGCAAACTGTGGGAGGCACTGAAAGTCCACAGCTGAAGGGACTTGAGTTAGCAAATCGTGGAACCACATACTGATGTAGATTTTATTATACATCCAATATATAATGTTGACATTAAAACAAATGTATGGTTGAAGTTCTGGAGTTCATCTTGGTTCAAAAAAAGCACACAGAAAGTTATCTCAAATTGGTTAAGAAATTAAGAGGCACTGTTTGTTCTACACAAAATGACAGGAGAAAAAAAATGATTCAGCATAGTATTGCGATATTTTGCGTGGCAATATTGTTTTGATTGACGCCAAGTATTGATTTTTTTACATTATATAAATTATTAAATTGCAAATACGATGAAACTTTTGGTAGCCTGCAAAAAACTATTTCTTTTTCAGTCTGCCAGATACATTTTATTTCAATAAAAGTAATTTAAGTAAGATGAACAAACATGAACAAACATTATCCTGTTGGGGGTCACAGGGGCCTGGAGCCTATCCCAGCTGACATTGGGCGAGAGGCAAGGTACACCCTGGACAGGTCACCAAACTATCACAGGGCTGACACATAGAGACAGACAACCATTCATGCTCACACTAACACCTACGGCCAATTTAGAGTCACCAATGAACCTGCATGTCTTTGGACTGTGGGAGGAAGCCAGAGTACCCAGAGAAACCTCTGCACCACCATGCCGCCATAGATGAATAAACAGATTCCGACAAAGTTTTCCTTCAGACTGTCATCGGATCACTCTGCGTTCACTGTCGGAATTCGGAGGTTTTTCTGGGTTCCTGAACGCCGCATAGGCAGAATTCTATGTCTCCCTCAGCAGCAGTTTGTTGAGTTTGAGTCATGGGGTGGAGAACTGATCGGCTAGCAGATCAATTTGTGATCAGATTGGTCAGAGCTGATCAGATTGATGGATTGGAAGAGCAGCTACTGCAGAGATGAGTTAAAGCAAACTCTGTTGCTGCCATTACACAGGTCCAGCATTGGACTGCGGGCACAATATTCCATGGGAACGCAGCCGGTTTCATCTAAAGTAGGTTAGAAAACTATAGACTACACTACAATAAGAGTGCTGTTAATGAACGATTTCATTCTTGGCGCTCTCTTCCTCCGTCTGTGCCAGTGTGGTCTGCTGAGAGAGAGTGTTGCTATGGATAACCATAACGGTAGCCTAAATATATATATATTACAACAGCACTCTGAATGAACGGTCCAGCTTCAAAAATAGAAAATCAATATGTGGCGGCAAATGCTGATACTGTGGTGATGCGCCGCAAATACATAAATGCGTGGGAAACCCTGCATTTAAGTGATCATATAGAGTGTCTTTTTAACATATCTGTTAAATGTAGAGACAGTAAAGCAAAGACATTATGGCAGTTAAACGCGACTTAATATCGGTACCTTCTGTTCATCTGCCTGTTTTTCAAGCTATTTTGCTGAATGACGCTTGAGATAATCTGTTTAAACAGTGCAGGGAATACTGGATGTAGCTAAATGGATAAAGACTTTGTGCTTGCATTAATTAAATTCACCAACAGGGCTGGAGCTCACTGACATGCATCAGAGAGGGAGCAGCTGTATAGGCAGAGACGAAATGCCTACATGGAGAAATATACTGTACATCCAAGTACTGTATGATCCTAGAGTATTACTGAGAGACTTCTAATAATCAGATAGGGCTGAGTCTATAATAAGGGGTGGTGGAGATGAAGAGACAGATTATGAACAGTATGGCTTCAGCCTCACTGTAAGAAACCAATGTTGAGATTGTTTGGTTTTAAGTGTCCAACTGTGTTCTCAGTGGTACTGTCCTTGACCGCTGTCCTCTGTGAGCTAAAAGCCATGTGGTGCTGTAGAGGTCAAGATGACACTGCACTGCTGCTCTTTCCCCATCCTCATCTTACATTATAGCTACATACTTAAAACTTGTATGTTCATGTGGAACAAATGGGTTTTTTGCATTACACTTTAAAGAGCAGTTCTGACCAAAGGAAAATTCCATTATCTCCTTCTCACTCCCATGTCACCTGAAAAGTCATTAAAATGTGCATGACCACTGAGCTGACCTTGAATTAGAATCAACCAATTGAAGTAAATGGGTTCATGCTGTTTTAAAAGAGCCATAAACTGGACATAAAAATCCCCTAACAACTCCTGCACCATAAGGCATGTATATTGCAGCGAAACGAAAGTGGGAACAGTGTGCCTTCACTGCTTGATACATCTTACATGTAAGAAGAAGTGGTGTAGCATGGGCACAGTGTGCTCTGACAAGGTGTACGTTGCCAGGAAGGGGTGAGTCAGAGCAGCGGTATGTTGAACCTTTCTATAAGGCTGATGGCCTACAAGGAACATCCATTAAGCTAAAGCACATAAAGTACAGTGCTTGAAGCCCTCTGTCTGCATTATTTGTCAGGTGTTCCTAATTTGGCATCGACTTCCTGTATCTGTGTTTTCACAGGGCCTGGGGGCAGAGTGTAAGAACCTCTACCCTTTCCTTCTTCCTGTCATCCAGCTGAGCACCGACGTTTCCCAGCCGCCACATGTGTATTTGCTGGAGGACGGACTGGAGCTTTGGTACGGACACACACATCCCACATGCAGATACACTATGCATTTTAAGTCCCAGTGGTCTCACTCGCACGTCAGACTGCATTCACGCACACACGACACGTTCATACTATGACTGTAGTTGTCTGGTTTCCCTTTTTCGTCTGTCGCTAAATTCACTCAAGCCCTTTTGTCACATTAGTCACCAGTCTAGTTTGCTGACTCACATTTTGTACATATATGGGAACCAAATCCAAACACTTTGTCGATAAATAGTTATAAATGGCCTCGCTGTGACATCTTGTTATTGCTCACATTTTCACGGAGAACCACTCTAGATGGGCGACGAAGCTGTCGATAATTCAAGTGCATCACAATCATGTTATTGTTTCGGGCATGTGCCGTTTTTTTAAGCTATCTCAAGAATCTGCTGCGAGAAAGTACGCTCACTTTGTAAAGTTTGGTTCAGTAGAAGAGAATTTGCAGGGTTACCTTTTTATTCCTCTCCTGTCATCCCTGCTTAATCAGTTTTTTTCCTGTCTGTGGAGAGCATCGGTGTTCAGCATGCTGCGTGTGCTTGTAGCACAAAGCCACAGTCTTATGTCTCTGTCTTGTCTTTTATTCTGCCTGATAAACAGCCGTGCCCTAAATATTTGTTTGCTTTGTTTACAAAGTCAGTGTCATTTTCTTTTGCTTTTATCTTTTATCAGCTGATTTGCCACTCTCTCTCTGCGGCCCTCTCGGTATCTGTCTATCTAGTTTGTTTTTTTTTCCTATTAGTCTGTGGAGCATGCATCAAATCAGTCATTCATGTCTCTTCTTGGGTTGTAGGTGAAATTCACCAGCCTTTATTTGAGGTGTTTTGATCACTGAGTGTTTCCTGGTAGCATCGACATCTCAGAAAGGTTTTCCAGTTTTGCGAACATACATTTAATGTAGCGTAGAGCATGTCAGTAGGATTTACTGAAATATTTACTTAGACAATCCACTGCCATACAGTATTAGGAGACGTCAGGTGAATTCATGTCATCATAAGATCTTAATGTAGATGTACAGTTTTCCATGAGGCAGTCTGAACTTATCTACAGCCCGAGCTTATTCTCTGTTATCAGTACATATTCTTTATGACTGGTTATTTTGTATGTAAAATGCTTTGGAAACAAATGTGTATGCCAATCATCAGATTTATGAGACATGTTTCTTTTTGCCAGATTTTTCTTTACACTGAGCAACCCACTAACATTACTCTCCTTTGCCTCCTTCTTTTTCCTTTTCCCTTTTACACCCACTTCACCATGCATTATATATTTTTTCCACCATTTTGATGCCCATGTTCTCTTCTCCTTTCCGTCTCTGTAATTTGCCCCGCTGTATTTCTCTGCCCATTTTCTTTTGCCACCTCTAATCTATATCTTCGCTGCTCTGTTCTCACAACTTCCCCTATTTTCTGTTTTATTCTCTCCTTCCCTTCTCTTTCCTCCTCTCTTTTTTCCTTCTGCCTGCTCTCCTTCAACCCTCCCTGTCATCATGCAGGTTGGTGACTTTGGAGAACAGCCCAGCCATCACCCCGGAGCTGCTCAGAATTTTCCAGAACATGTCAGCTTTGCTGGGTGAGTTCACATGAGATTTCTTTGTTTGCTTGTGTGTGTGTGTGTGTGTGTGTGTGTGTGTGTGTGTATGCTTCCGCTTCTGTGTATGGACTGTTTGCAAATGAGTTTGCACACAGACCCCCCCTCCAAACTTCATGGTGTTTTGCATTAACATATAAATTGAATTAGTGGTAGGAAAGGATTACAGTACATTGCACGGCACCTGGATTCTCACAATATCACGAGAATCATGGAACACAAGATTATATGAAAAAATACATCTTGCCAGGCTTCAAATAATGCGTTATTGTTGTTCGGACCAATCAGGGAGCGTCCTTTTAGGAGCTACTGGCAGCTATGGCTGTGGTTAAGGTATGTGTGACACACAGAGAGGCTACTGTTGTTTCAAAAACAACGGTGGGGACTCCTACAGAGGTTAGCATAGATATAATTGCTATAAACACATGTGGAGGCCTGGGGACAAGACTTTGGTATCTTAAGTTTGTAGTCCGAAGAGTTTTGACCAGTCACATTTGAATGGCAAGTAAATTACCCTGTGGCAAGGCGAAATGCATTGGCCAAATTGCAAACTCAGACCCCATGGGCTATTGTCTGAAGACTTGTTAGCTTTATGTTATGTTAAAAGATTAATTAAAGATTAATTGCATTCATATGCAAATATCTGTTTATGAAGGTTAGCTGAAATGACTAGCGCACAGAAGAAGAAGTCCTCGAATATCTGCCAGCTACTCTGGCTCAACCTGAAATATTGGCTCTCATCCCCAGAGGCTCACGTCATCAGACAGATAGCCGATGGGGTCCAAGATTGATGTAGGTGCTGCATTAGCGTCAGTGATATCATAACTGGTGAGTTATTTTAGAGTTCTTTATTGAATGAAAAGCAACGAATGGCAGTGAAGTCTCTCGTTTGAAAAAGATGTTTTTGCTTTTTGGTGACAGCAACAGTGATAGACAGATGGTTCCTCCAGTGCCGTGCCAAGTATTTTTTGAAAGTGCCTGCCCTTCTTCCAAACAGTTTCTAATAATATCTTCTTAGATAATCCTGTGTAACAAACCATCTGGCTCGTCAGGTTATGGAAAAGAAGGTATCACAATAACATCAAGAATCATGCTACTATGTCGAGTTTTCGAAAAATTGATTAGTATTAGATCAAATTATGCCTTTCTTTGTGAAAGAGGTGTGTGTGTGTGTGTGTGTGTGTGTGTGTGTGTGTGGTTCAGAGCAACACAGAAAGCATTTCACATCAAAACAACGTGTGAGATGAAAAAAAAAAAGCTGCACGATCCGATAGAATGAACCAGCATTATGTGATCAAATACTTTAAAATTGCAGAGAAGGCGAGAGAATGAGGACAGAAAGTTGATGCAATCCATGGACATGGATGTAATTTTCATAATTTTATCACTTCTGGATATTGTAGCTTACACAGATCACAGTTATGGCTTTGCAGGAGCCTCAAGGCATCAGGGCGACCACTGTGGGTCTGTAGGCAGCTGTGAGTGGTGGCAGATTGAATGGAACTGGCTGGATGATTTATCACAGGCCTGGAGCATTGGGACACCTCACTTGCTGCCGTGTGTAGAGGTGTGTGTGTGTGTGTGTGTGTGTGTGTGTGTGTGGCCTTCAGTGTGATGAGGAAAAATATTGATTTGGTGCTTCTGCTCATACCAAGTGAGTCAGACTAATATGAACACTAGTGTAGCCTGATTGGCTTACTGGAGCATTTGATCACTTATTGTGCGGATAGGGAATCCATGAGCCACAGAAGAGCAAGGGACTCAGGAAGACCGTCACGGATGGATGAAACGGACGGGGGAAGGATTTAAAGAGCTTGGAGGGAAGGGGGAATATTGGTGAAAACATAACAAGCAGGTGGTGGATGAAAATGAATGATTTAAGAAGTCATGACAGGAAAATTAATGAAGAAGAAGAAGTGACATAAAAAAGGTTACACACCGGAGGTGTTTTCTGAGGAGCTTGGACATGGATGGATGGAAAGATAAGAGAGGCCATTTTTACTCTTATCTAGTGCTGAACAGAAAAGTTAAACCTAGGCAATGAACAGGAAAGATGTTCTTTTTTTGCAAAGCAGCACAACAAGTCATGTTACACTTTAGACCAATTACAGGTAATTATACAGAGGGGGCTGGAAGGTGGCAAAACAACAGCTGCAGCCAAAAAGCCTTTCCATAAAAAAAAAAAAAAACAACTTTGCTTTTTTACTCAACTTAAGGCACTAGTGTGGAGCCCATGCACAACGTCCCTGTTAGGAATGGGCTGATTGCTCGGCTTGTGGTATTGTTGCTCCCCTGAGAACCTCTTATACAAACAACTTCATACTCCACAAGCGCTTCCCTGGCTCCTGAGTGGGTTTAGGCTGCATCTTATATTTCATACCTTCCTGACATTTCATCAGGGTATACAGTATATGATGAAATTTGTGGGAAAACAACAAACAACCGGTGTAACATCTCGCCATAGAGATGTCCCTGTCAAGCTTTTTGCCCCCAGATGTGCTCTTCATGTACTTTAAAGTTATTAAAATCAATCTAATGTGTCGCCTGAATTTTACAATGGAATAGCTTTGCAGTGCATTGCAAAAAAATCCTGCACCCAAGCTTGTCCTTCATTTTTAAAATGTATTTATTCATTTATTTACAACATAAAACATAAATAACAAACCCTCTCTTTAATCTTTTTGGCCTTGTCACACTCTAAAGAGAACGTCTCTATCCCTTTAAGAGAGTAGCCTATTTTAATGTTGCTCCGATGCAGCCTTGCCTGAGGTAGCCCACCTGAATGAACTGTACTCTGTCAAGTTTTTATTTTTGTCATCTGTACGTCTTTTGCGATAATAATGTAATATTCTCATTGGCTTTTTACTCACAGGGCTTTTGTTGCACCCGTAGTACTGTGGTGAGTGTGTTTGTCATAAGCACTGCACCACTGTCTGTCTCTCTCCTAAGCAAGATAGTGAAACACCATGTGCCATAGATGACATTAAAATGCAAGAGACTGTCATGCCTCGGCCACACTGCCTGCGTGAGCAGAGCGTGTGCGTTGAGTAACCTTTTGGTTAATTTTTTTCCGGTGCCCATGTAAAAAGGTTAGAGCAGCCACATTTCCCGCATGGGCAGCGCTGCTCAGTTGCAGAACTTCTCGACATTCAGAGTCCCGTCTCTTCTTTCTGCATGCATGGTTTTCAGCTAAAAAAAAAAAAACAAAAAACATGAAAATGGTCTTTTGATAACAGTGTTGACACTGTAAAACTTTTCACTACTGTTTCAATGTCTCTATCAAACACAGACATAAAAAAAATTAACTCAATACTTCTTGTTTCCGTTTCAAAATAAAAACCTTCTGACAATGTTTCTGTCAACAGAATCCCTTCATTTGTTATCACAAGGCTTTTTATTGTGAAATATTTGTACAAGTGTGCTGTTGATAATGCAATGGCTTTCACGGCTCAGTACTGGCTTTTAATTGTGGAGACACAGTGCTCATAGCAGCAGGTAGCTTTGCAGCTGCGTCGCAGCAGTACTGCTGTCCATGTGTGAGCTGCAGCAGTTCAGTGAGCTAACTGTCAAGTGCTGCTCATGCAGGTACTTTGGCCCTGGTGTCACACTGAGCTGAGATGAAATGAGTGCTCATAACTTTGGTAAATAATAAATAAAGAGTGTCATACTGTTTTTTTTCTCTGTTGTTTATGGCATGTAGGGTTTTTTTGCAGGGCTCAGACTCTGTTTCTACACACACGGGAGCCGTATTGGCACACACACCTATCTCACCCTCACCCCGTGCAGTAAACTTGCTAAGTTTTACGAGGTCTTTTAGCTCTTTTATCCTTATAATCCGTAAAAATGTCAGAAGAGGAACTATTTTTACACCTATTTTCCTTATCAAACGGAAGAATTAAATCGTACACCTCCTGAATTCGAGACTAGCCTAAGTGCCTTGTTAAGTTGTTGTAGAACAGACTTCATTCAAAGTCGTCGATAAAAAGAAAAAATCACTAAAACCGTTGGTTAGTCCACTGTGTCACTGCCCCAACATTCAACAACTCTGGTTTGGTCAAAATAAACCTTTAATTTGCTGAGTTAGATGTAAAAAAAAGTACCTGATTCTACGAGAGAGACTGACCCCTGGTGGCTTGCGCTGTGCAATGCAGTACATCACCTCAATACAGCATTTCCATATCAGTTTATAGAAAGACGAGCATCTGTAGTTTTGCCGGTTTTGAAAATCATGCTATTGAGATTTCGAAATACCCTGATATATCGTGATACTGCTTGAGCCTAGTCCTGAGCAATACACCTGCTATGACTTAGTACTGTCCCCTAGCAATGCTGGAGTGTACATGTTTTCCCTCACAGACGTCTGACAGTGGGACTGAGAGCGCGTCAGTGCTCATTGCCTCAACATGATTGATGTACATCTGTCAGGTATTTAGCGCAGACTGATCAGCTCCTATATTACTGCTGTAAGTGGCTTTAAGGATGAATTAAAGGAGGGGAGAGGGAATGTAAAAGTGGAAAGAGGTTTTAAAGAGCAAATGGATGGTTGGAGCAGGGAAATGAAAGGAGGTAGTACGTTGACAGATGGAGGTGGAGGCACAGAATCAAGAAAGGAATGATGTATAGAAAAGATGAGCTCAGCTGAAGATTGAATCGCTGTTGAACACTTTGATAGGTAAGATACATGAGCTTGTAGGTTTACCTGCAGATGCACACTCATTTCTCTGCACCGTTTATCTCAGACTTCCCTGCTATGCAGTTTAACAGATGCAGGCTCAAATTAGAGCTGCAAAAATTAGTCACAAATTAGTCAGCAGCAGATAATCGATGGCTGCTTTCCCTTGTCTCATGTCATAGGAAATTGGATTTTTTGGGGTTTTTGACCCTTGTTTCATCAAGACAGGACATTTTATAATGTCTTCTTGGGCTCTAGGAATATTTTCACTGGTTTTTGATGTTTTACAGAGCAAATGATTCCTTGATAA